GTGTGAGAGGGAGTTGGCTTGGTGCCAGAACTACCTCCTTGGCAGTAGAGTTCAGGGGGTGAAAAAGTGTTCACATAGAACAGGAAGATGGGGAAGGGGACACTGAATCCCGGGATGCTAGAGGACTGCAATGTGGGTGGCTTATCTGTGGGAAGTGGCCATATATTAATGGAACATGAGCTGGGTGACACCAGTGAGAGAATTCTGCCCTGGAGTGGCATAACTTTAAGCCACCTAAAGTGTGCTTAAAACTAGTTTCAAGTATTAATGTGTGGGCAATCCAGGGATTAAATGCTCCAGGAGCTGTATAAAATTAACATGCAACAAGGCCCATAGACAGTGGTTTTATGGCTCATTACAAATCTGCCTGCACCTTCTGCTAGCCTCTCTATACTCCTAAGGTAACAACAACCTTCTCCCATTTTGAAGGGTCTTACTTTCTTACATGGGCAACTGGTGCCTCCTGATAGTGGCGGGGGGGGGGCCACCAGCAGCTGATCGCCAACTGGGAGGGTGGTCCCCTAGTGGCCATTCGCCGACCAGGGGAAGGGGGGTTCCCCAGTGGCCGATCACCGCTGCTGCTGGTGGCAAAACTTCTCCAGCCAGTGCTTCTCTCGGCACCCCCACAATCTCAGGGGCGGGGGCACCAGCCATCATCCAACAATCTCGGGGGGGGTGGACATGTGTCCCCCCTACACATTGCCTATCATTTCTTACATAATCTATTTGAACTGCCTTTTCCCTGGTTTGTAGCTGCTTTCTATACCTTCTCTTTGCTTCTCAGGTTTACTGCCCTTGTTCCCTTTAAGAAATTCTTTTAATTTTCGAAATGAAGTTAAAGAAAATTCTTTGTTCTACCTGGTTTTAGCTTAGGCTGTATCTGCTGCTTTCACAAACCTGAGGAAGGATATTTTATGCTGAAAAGCTTGTCTAACATCTGTCCTAACTATAGTGGTCCAATAAAAGATACTACCCAACAGACCTCGCTTCCAACATACCACTATACATCCATTTCCAGCACAGTGTTCCAAGTGACCCCAAGAGACCTCTCCATTTATTCAACAAAGTCTAGGTTGCAGTGTTCAAGTCTTCCTGTAACATAAATTGCATGTACTTCTGAACATGAAGAGTAATGGTACACTTCAGAACTTTGGCTCATAACTATAAATATCTATGTTTGCCTCTTTACATGGCAGCCTACGGTCTTGAATAAAATAGTGTTTGCTGTATGTTGTCATATTACACTAAGTTTTTTGTTTTTCCTATTTTAAAGCACAGATACAAAACCCAAGATAGATAAAAAAAGAATGGCTAAAATAGGTGATTTTCTCACTTGAGAAATTTATGCATTTTTTATGCCAAAATAACCTGGGTTAGACAATATTTCCACTGAATATAAACAACAGCATATTTGATATGCAAGACTAACCACATAACGAAGTTTAATAAATTATGCTTGAATAATTCTGTCAAAGAGCACAGAGGAGCATTATTCACAGCAGGAATTCTAATTTCCAGAAAATACTGCTTCTGATGCCCACTAGCCATCAAACTGAAGTAAACAGTTAGCTTAATTGTGTTCCTGTTTTAAAAGTAAACTGAAATGTGAAAGACTTTGAAAGTGATTGATTCTCTCCCGAAACAACTGTTCACATTATAGGGTCATAGGAAAGTAGGGCTAGAAGGGACTTCACAAAGTTACCTAATCCAGGAGCATCCCTGACTAAACCTCTCAGTCAAGTGTCTATCTAACCTACTCTTGAAAAATTCCAAGGGTGGACATTCCACTACTTCTAAGTGATTTATTCCAATGTTTGACCATCTTTATAGCCAGAAAGTTTCTCCTCATCTCCAACCTAAATTTCCCCTGCTGCAACCTGAGACCATTGCTACTAGTCCTGTCCCCTACAGCCATAGAAAAAAGCCCATCTCCACCCTCTCCACAATTGTCCTTCAGGTATTTGAAGATTTATCAAAATTTTGCCCCCGCACCCACCCTGAGCCTTCTCTTCAAGATAAATAACACTAACTTTCCTCTAAAGTTAGGCTTCTCAGGCCCATAATCATTTTTGTTGTTCTGTGCTGAACTCTTTCAAATCTGTCTACATCCTTTCTGAAGTGTAAGGCCCAAAACTGGACACAGTATTTCACATTTGGTCTCACCTTTACCAAATAAAGCAGAAGAATCATTTTCCTTGATGTACAAGTGACACTCCTGATAATACAATCCAATCTACTGTTATACAACCCAGTACGCTGTTGGCTTCTTTTTGCAAAAGTACCCTCCTGGCTCATTTTTAGCTTATGGTCTACAGCAGGGATAGGCAACCCCCAGCTGAGTGTGGCACTCAAAGGCATTGTGCTTGGTACTCATGCTTCTGGTTGGATGGCAGGAAGGGGCCAGGACTACATGGCAACAGCAAGGATTGGGCCCCCCGTGGCTCCCCCATCATCCACCCCTGGCACACCAACATCTTACAAGTTGAAGTTGTGGGTGTTTTTTGGCACTGTGCCCAAAATGTTGCTGACCCCGGGTCTACTACTCCTCACAGTTGGAGTACTGTATCCAGTTCTGGGTGCCGCATTTCAGGAGGGATGTGGACAACATCAAGAGGGTCCAGAGGAGGGCCACTCGCATGATCAGGGGTCAGCAGGGCAGGCCCTATGAAGACAGGCTAAGGGACCTGAACCTGTTCAGCCTCCACAAGAAAAGGCTGAGAGGGGATCTGGTGGCCATCTATAAACTGGCCAAAGGAGACCAGCAGGCAATGGGAAAGTCCCTGTTCGCCTGAGCATTACTGGGAGTAACAAGGAATAATGGCCATAAGTTGACTGAGAGTAGATTCAGGCTAGATAACAGGAGGCACTACTTCACAGTCAGGGCGGCTAGGATCTGGAACCAACTTCCAAGGGAAGTGGTGCTCACTCCTACCCTGGGGGTCTGCAAAAGGAGGCTAGATGGACACCTTTCCAGGATTGTTTGACCCCAGCATTCTTTCTTGCCCATGGCAGGGGGTTGGACTTGATGATCTGTCCAGGTCCCTTCCAACCCTACCAACTATGAAACTACAGTAACATCCAGGTCCTTTTCTGCAGTACAGCAGCCTAACCAATTATTCCCCAGTCTGTATTTGTGCATGCAATTATTTTACCCCCAGTGCAGGACTTTGTACTTGTCCTTAATGAATCTCACCTTGTTGATTGTGGAGCATGGTCTCCAGTCTATCCATGTCATTTCTGATCCTAGCCATACCCTCCAGAGTATCTGCAGCTCCACCCAACTTGATGTTGTTTGCAGATTTGCTAAGTGTGCACTCAGTCCCATCCAAATTATTAATGAAGATATAAAACCATGCCAGATAGATCCCTGGGGAAACCCACATGATACTTCCTCCTAGTTGGACATTGAAAACTAATCATTCGGCACATCTACGTGTGCACCCAACTGCACAGTTGTTACTGGGAAGTCATTTAGTACTCACTTTAGCAAGTAAATTAAGTTACTGAGCAGTCCCAGAGATGCATGGGTCATTTCCAACTCTACTGCACAGCAGGGCTGTGCGAAGCAGCTGTGTTTTGATTCGGTTTCAGAGAACAGTGATTCATTTCAGTGTTTCAGATCACTGTCCTTTTTCATTTCAGCCAAATCTGTTTTGAATAGGCTGCAAGCTTCACATAGCCCTACTGCCCAGCTGGGTGGGGCTTGGGGCTGGAGGCTGCAGGACCCCAGTGGGGAGCAGGCCAGGGCTGTGGGTGGCTCATCTGGGAGAGGGGGAGGGCCGCTGCCCTCCCAGCAGGCAATGAGACCCCCTGCACAGATCTCTGATCCCTACCACGCCGAGTCGTGGGGCAGGGAAGCAGCACAGAGTGGCAAGCAAGCTTGCTGGTCCCTGCCATGCGACTGCTCCACAGGGAGCAGATACCCATGCTGGGGGCCTCCTTGCCACTGCTGCCCACTCTGCACAGCCCTGGATTTCTCCTCTGCTCCCTGCAGAGACAGGTCGTGTGGTAGGAACCAGCAGTGCCCTGCCGCGCGACCTGGCTCTGCAGGGAGCAGACATCCATGCTGGGGATCTCCTTGCTGCCACTGCCCGCCCTGCGCTACACCAGATCTCTGCTCCCCGAGCAGCCAGGTCACGCAGCAGGGCAGCAGTATACAGCTGTTTCCCTGCATACCCGGCTCTGAAACCCTGAAATTTTCTGAAACATTTCCAAAACATGTTCAAAATGTTTGGATGTTTCATTTTAGAGATGTTTCTGAGCCTTCTGTTTCAATTCAGATTCAGCCGCAAACACCTCCAGAACAAAACAGCTGCTAAAATTTCACACAGTCCTACTGTGCAGTAGTGCATGGCCACTATGCAGTACCATCAGCATCATGGTTTGTACCCACCGACACTATGGCTATATAGCATCTTGTGGAGATGAAACCATTGAGAGTGATGATCCAACCAGTTATGTATCTACCCTACAGTACTTTGGTCTAGTCTGCATTTCCTTAGCTTGTTAAAAATGTTGAGAAAGGCAGTGGCAGAAGCCTTGCTAAAATCATGCTATATCAAATCCACTGCTCTCCACCCTCTTCTCCCCACCCCCACCCCCTTCTATGGACTTGTCACTTTATCATACAAGGAAAACAGCTTGATCAGGCATGGACCTGCTCTTGGTGAATCCATGCTGGTTGTTCCCTATTACCTTGTTCTCCTCTAGGTGCATCACAATGGAACCTGTAAGGACCTATTCCTGGAGAGATCATGGAACTGAGGTCAGGCTTACTAGTCTATAGTTCTCCAGATGCTCCTTCTTCTCTTTTTTGAAGACAGGAACTATTTTTCCCTTACCCCCAGTCATCCAGGACCTCACCCAAACTCCACAAGTTCTCAAAGTGGATAGCCAATAGCTTCAAAATTACCTCAGCCAGTTCCTTGAGTACAATTTAAAATTGATGAGGTCCATAAGCTTAACATGAAACATATCAGAGATCTTGTAATATCTAGTACCTGACGGTGTATGAAAACAACGGATCCTAAGAGCCTCCAAGTGCCGCCCTGCCGATCTACATGAAGCATGCGTAGTATCTGTAAAAAACGAATTCCCCTAAGAGAAAAATGAAATAAAAATAAAAAGATATCAACACGATAGAAATAAAGAGATAAAAAAGATCAATATGTATAAACATGTACCTGAATGTATTTGTAGGTTGTACTCAAATATCAAAAGGGCCTGATTATCTTTCAAGGTACTGAACATCATCTCTACTCAGTTATGTGCCTTGGAGTTAAGGCAACTCAGTATTTTTATGTATTTGAACCAATAATTTCAATAGTGTTTTAAGAGTACACTATAGCAAAGAATATTTTTTAATAATATTTTTTTCTAACTTTTAACCCACTTATTTATGTGACCATCAAATGTTTACTTCCTGAGAATAGTATTCACTGGAAGAAAGCAAAACTTTAAATCCCTTATCTTTGAAACCAAAAACCTGAACGTTCAACATATA